GGTACTTGTAAAAAACGACTTTATCAAGGGGCTTTATTCTAAAGTCGCCACCAGCGACATCTATAGTTCAAACTAGCACTAGGGTGGCGACCCCTACATTTCCCATCCTGGACATTTACTCTTCTGGTTACAACATATTTACAAATTCAGCCGTCTCGGTGGCTTGATGCAGCGTCAATAGCGTGTCCTCAACACACCGTCTCGGAAGGGCGCCGAATCCCGACGGGGGGTGTCATGTTCTTGCGGCGGCTCCGCCGGGTCATCAGCTGCTGGATGTAATTCTGAGGATGGTCTTGACTCAGGCAGTGAAGGCTGCTCATCCGGTGTCTTCTCTGTGTCTTGTCTGATGGCGAAAAGCGCACAAGATGACGGCAGTTCCGCTGAAGAACGCCGCTAAGCGTCTCCACGACATACAAACTTGGACGTTGGGCTGGGCTGAGGACTCGGGCTTGGCAGTTTGCATCAGTCACCCAGATTGTGCCACCTGGCTGCAAAGGGCTCAAGGGACTGGCGCTGTGCCGGCGATGGAAATCACGAGCCTGGCGGGTCTTTTCCCTTGCGTCCTGTGCTTTGAAACTCTGGTGGTTTGGTTGAACAGGTGTAAGCTTTTTGGGCAACGCAGGAAGTCGTGTCTGGAGACGTCGACCCATTAGAAGCTGTGCGGGTCACACGCCCGTGACTTCAGGAGTGTCTCGGAAGGTTAGGAGCGCCAGGTACGGGTCGTCAGCCTTCTTGAGATCCTTTACCGTACGTACCATGCGTTCCACCTCGCCGTTGCTTTGCGGGTAACGCGGGCTGCTTGTCTCGTGCCTGAACCCATACAGGCGAGCAAAGTCCGTGAATTCCTGACAGGAAAACTGGGGTCCATTGTCGGTCCTGATCACATCGGGAATGCCGTGAAGAGCGAAACAGTGCCGCGATGACTGCCGATGCCGACGTGGAGCCTAGGGAGACCACTTCCCGGAACCGGGAGTAATAATCTACTACAAGGACGTAGTCGCGTCCTTTTAACTGGAACAAGTCGATGCCCAGACGCTGCCATGGTCGGTCGGGTACCGATGTTGACATGAGTGGCTCTGGGTGCACCACCCTTGTCTCAGCACATTTGGCGCAGTTGTTGATCAAATCCTCGATGTGGAGGGTACAGTTGGGCCACCAGATGCTCTCCCTAGCTCGCTCTTTGCAGCGCCGCTGTCCTTGATGGCCTTCGTGTAGCAGGGCCAGGATGTTGTGACGCAGAGCGGCAGGGATTACAAGGCGACAGTCTAAAAGAAGTAGACCAGCGGAGACTGTCAGTCTTCCTCTTTCTTTCCAGTAGGGCACTAGGTTGGGAGAGAGCTTTCTTTTGTCCGGCCACCCCTCCTGGCAGTAGCGGGCGACTGAGGTACACTCTGAGTCTTCCGTCTGACGCTGACGAACTTCTTCTAGCCGGTTAGCGATTGTAGGGGGAAAGCCCTTGACGACTTCACTGACAAAAAGCTCAATGGATCGTGCCGTCGAGGAAGGATGTTCACCACATGACGCCCGGGAAAGTGTGTCTGCCGTGGCCAGAAGCTTGCCTGGCACGTGTTTCAGGTCGAACTGGTAGCGCATGAACTTTATACGCATACGCTGAATCCTGAGTGGCAACAAGTCTATATCTTTTCCACCGAGCAGGACGACGAGAGGAAAGTGATCTGTCTCAACGGTGAAGCTTAGCCCACGCAGGTACTGGTCAAACCGAAGCACGGCCCATATGTCACGGCGAGACTCCTTTTCGGTTTGGCTGTAGCACCGTTCTGTAGGTGTAAGTGACCTTGACGCGAAGGCTTCAGCCCGACGCTCACCCGAAGGTTGCTCTTGCTGGAGTACCGTTCCTAGGCCGAAGGAACTAGCGTCGGCTGATACTGTTGTTCTGTACGCAGTATGGTACCGTGCGACGCAGAGGTCGGAGGAGAGTAGCTGCTTCAGCTTGAAGAAGGCAGACTGCTGGGCAGGGCCCCAGGTCCATACGGCGTTCTTGAGCAGCAATGCCCTCATCGGCTCTGTCACATCCGAAATGTGTGGCAGGAAGCGACCGATGTGGTTGACAAGACCCAAAAGGCGACGGACGCCTGCGACGTCATCTGGCAGAGTCATGGCTTGGATTGCCGCCACCTTGTCGGGATCTGGAGAAATGCCTTGGGCCCCGACGACTACGTACCCTAGAAACACACTGCTGGTTCGTCGTTTCTTCGTCGCTTTCCTAACGTTCAGCTGGTAATCAGTAAGCATGGATAACCAACCGGCTCAGCTACAGGCCATCACCCCTAGAAACTTCACTCTGCTGGTAGCGAACAAGCATTTTTCGCGGTTCAGCGTGACTCCCGCCTTAGTCAGCCGGCGAAGGACTTCCCGGAGATGGCGATCATGTTCCAAGCGGGTTTTGCCAAAAACCAAAATGTTGTTTATCATGTTCGCGACACCCGCTTGGCCTTCCAGAATCCGGGACATCTGCCGTTGGAAATATTCTGGGGCAGAGGCGATTCCGAACGGCAGCCGCAGGAAGCAGTACCGGCCAAAAGGGGTGATGAACGTTGTATATCTCTTGCGACTTGGGGGACAGCTTGACTTGGTGGAAGCTTGACGTCGCATCCAATTTGGAGAAAACAGTGGCATCCCCCAGCAACCCAAGACATTGTTCCACTGTGGGTAGCAGCTGCGGACGAGGTAGCTAGTGGGCATGACGGCGGACTCATCCCCGGTGGCCATGGCGAAGGAAGGGAACCAGGACGGCGGGGGAGCCCGGCGAACAAAGTCCGATCAGGCCGCAAGGTAGGCCTTGCCTTAAAACGCTTCTGACACCATGTTGGAAGACGAAGAAGTACGAAGCTGTTCGTGCCAGCCAAGAAGAACCTTTATGGTCAGAGTGCCTGCACTTATATACTTTTCTAAAGTCGCCACCAGCGACATCTATAGTTCATACTAGCACTAGGGTGGCGATCCCTACACCGGAGCGCCTACGCCTGAGCAGCCTGAGCTGGCAAGCTTCTTCTGGAAGTGGAGTGAACGAAGGAAATTGCCGTCAATGAGACCGTCCTCGGGGAAGCCCAGAAGTTGATGAATGACAAAGAAGTTCCACCTCGGCAGCAGCTTTCCGGGAGTGAGCGAATTCCGTCTAGCAATTCCTTCGAGCTTGTCGTCTGCTAAACCCAACTCACGAAACCGCTACTGGCGCTACTGACATTTGTCGCCCAGCGGAGTCACTCTCGACCGCAGAGTCCCATGCCCCATGCATGATGCATTGTCATGGTATCAATCAATGGCCGCCGGTGGCAACACTCGGCCCCAGCTGCCGAGGCCGCGGTCCACGATCCAACCTAGTAATATCAGAGTTGTTAGTCAGCTGTGCGTACGGGTCTCTTTCCTTTGGGTGTGTGGACTTGAGCGACTGTTTTGTGGGTACGCTGTTCCCCCTGTACATCATGTCAATGGCCAGTTTCAGTTTCGGTTTTTCCGGGTTTTGTATTTATCGTCTACTATCGTCTCCGCACTGCATTGCTCGCGTCATTGTGGATTAATCAGCACTTATTTCGCTCGATGCAGTAAGCACCTTTTTCTTCTCGTCATCAGCCACAGCGAATAGCAAAACAATATAGATTTTGTTGGCCTTAACTTTTAGCCCCTTAATTCCACTTTACGCTCCCAGCGCCACCGCTTCCAGAGCGCCTGCTCTCGCTTTTGAACAGTTGCGGTTCCCATTGCTATCTTGCAGAAAGCATGAAGTTCTGATCGGAACTTTATGCTTTGCCAAAAAATTTATTGTTTACTACTTGATTAACTCTGACCCCGACGTTAAGACAATTTATTTTTCCTTACAGTTATATAAGCTCGATGAAGACAACTATAGAAGTACTTGTACGAGCCGTAGGATGATATTAAGCAACACCAAACACGTATGCCGTAAAGCGATCGTCATCTCTGAAGGCGACTTCCATCTGCGGAGTATTTGGCGCATTGTCTTCTAATTATTCCAAATACATTACAAAGATTACAAAACACTTCATCCGAATACATGCCTTGCCTTCGTCACTTGATGACGTCGAACACCGGTATCTACCATGCTGGTGGTTGCCTCGACGGCCCTTCGCAGCGAGAGCAATGGTAAACTGCGCCGCGCTCGGCTGTAGCAATTACCCCGTATCCCGATGATCGTCCGATCGTTTCGTCGGCGTGCCCCGCCAGACAGAGTAGCCGTCAAGTTAGATAAAGTACGAGCGGTAGGAAAGGGATGCGGCTGCGGATTATCGAGTTTGCGGCACGCATTTCATAGCGGCGAACGACGGCACTTTTCTATTGTTGTTTACGCTCGCGCAAGCCTTTGCATCGGCTTTTGCTCGTTCGTGGTGTATATGGCCTTCGACCTTCGTTGCATAACGCCGTTTTCACGCTTCGAGCGCACCTTCGGGGCTCCCGGCCGAATCCGGGCGAGGGTCGTGCAGCGAGCCCGGCCCGACGGTGATCGGTCGGCGGCGGCCCCCATGTGCAAGCTCGCCGAGCCGCCGCCGCCGGGTCATCGGTTTGTAGCGTCCGCCGCCCGCGATACGATAACCTTTGCAAGGACTCGGCAAACACTTCGCCGCGAACGGCTGCCTCGTCACTCGAGCTGGAGCTAAGCTGGTATCTTCGTCGCTGTCACTGCGTTTTATTAGACCTCCTGAAATTGACTGTAACGATGTCATCGTCGCAGTATGCTCGGGCGAGTCGGATGACGAGGGGAACGAAAACAAGCACATCAAGAGAGCCCACCCAGGAATCGAAACAAAAAAGCCGCGAAACGCCTTCACTCCCCCGCGGGAATGTCAACAACGAAACTGAAACTATGTGTAGTCGTCTCGACTACAGGTCGTACTCGTCCGAAAAAACTGCGCGGAGAACTACTCCCTAGGACTACTCCGGACCGCTCGACGCGAAACGCCACTTTTCCACGGAGCGGTTGGAGCCGCTCGGCGAGCGCCCCACTGGCTCCAAATACACAAGCCGCACCCGGAGAGATTGCTGTCATCTCGCAAGGGAAACAAGAATCCGCTCGGCGAGCGCTCGCTATTTGCCAATGGAAAGGGCTACCTGCTCTTCCGTAAAAATTTTCCTCTTAATTTCCTAGCGCGCTGTCTCCACATGTATAAATAGCTGAAAACCTCTCGTGCCCGTTGCTCCCCATCCATTTGCCTCAACCAATCCTCAAATTCTATCTTGCTCACAGCGCTCACAGCAGAAGTCTCCTTGTACCCCTTGTACCCCCTGGTTTCACGTTTTGCAATGTGCACCAAAGCCTACCTACTCCGCGCTGTTTTATTTCTAGTCTTGCGTGCACTTCGGATTTCCTGCATAGCACTGCGTTTCCAAAAGTCAAGCTAGGCACCATGACCCCTTTCCAAATCTCTCTCACCCTCTCACTGCTCTCACCACCTCGTAATAACTCTATGGTAATTCCAAAGTGCTCTATTTTTCATTACTGCTGCATTTCTGTCGCCCTGTTTCAGGACCTATTCAGGACCCTGTTTCAGTGGCGCGCCTAGCGGCGAAACTTTGCACTTGCGACAACTGTGGTGGTCGTGGCGGTTCATTGTTTTTCGACTCTTCACGACAGCAAGTTTTTGGAGGTGAGATCGATTTCATGTTCTGAAACTTCTAGACTTCTCCTTATTCAACAAGAAGGTACCTTTCTTAGCAAGGTAAAACAGCGCTGTGTCTCTGCCTTCCTTGTTTCTTCAGTCAAGGTTTTTTTTTTGCGCTACCTTACCTTGATGATCCAGTGGCGTATCTCGGGTCAGCGGCACCCTGTGCGGTGGCCCGCGTCGTTCCTGCAGCGTCGGCAAACATTCGGCTGATGATGGCCCAACTCTTTCTGAAGCTCAGCCCGTGCTCTATGCCTTGCCAACGTCAGCGCATGTCTATGATGAACACAGTCGGTATATAATGAGCGTCAGTTCATATAGCTGCTTGTAGTTATTGCGAGTTGAAGAGAACCAATGGGTGTTTTTGCAAGTTGTCAACTTCAAGAAATAGTTTTCAATTATATATGCTGAAAGTACAAACATGCACGGCCTATATTACCTGTAGTACACATCATTGATGCACCCAAACTTGTTTTCGTTGAACAAATCGTAAGGGTGCAGGCGAGCTGGTGAATATTAACCATGTTGAATTAACCTGAGACTAAGGTAGATAAGAAACATCAAAACAAGGACGACGTCTCAAACTTATGTCGATCGTGAAGGTTGTCCCTGAGAAGGAGAAGCATTGAAAGGACTTAATTTGACTGATTTATACAACATTATTTAGAAGTACAAGTTTGTTTGGAAGGAGTACCTGAAAACAGAGCCGTATATATAGAGAGTCTGGTCAATGGGAGGCACGGGCAGAGCCAGGGTGTGCACCAGACTTGGAAAGAGGGCTTGACATGCTCTTTTGACCAACCAGAAGCCGAAAAGAATCCCCTAGTGGTGGTAGCGAGAAACAGTTCTGATCAAAGGTCTATGTTCATAAATGGTTTTAATAAGCGCGTAAGAGTAAAGTGTAGTAACTCTTCGTGGTTGAAAATAGGGCGCATGTGCTGTTTTCATCATGATCATGCAGAAAGATGTAAGAAACGAATGCACCGCTCAACCCTGTTTCACTCGGACAGAGTGTGACCGCTCGGACGGCAGATTCCTGGCCCTCGGCGCTTGGCATATGGATTATGTCGATCGTTCCGCTAGTCGCACTCTTCCACCATCATTTCGGATGAGCGTGATTGAAACATCACGTGTACCATATTTTCAGTCATCGAGAGTTACTCTAATGCAGTTATGAGGTTTGTTTTTTGCGACCACCGCCAGGGGTATTGTTTCCGGCTTCTGGTTGGTCACATTCGAATTTCTGAAGACGCCCTGGAACACGCCCAGTCCGGTTTCAGCCAATGGCGCCTCCACATTTGTCTCCTATACTTCCCAACGAATGGCCAAACTCTATACATATACGGCTCTGCCTGAAAAGTAGTGATGGGCCAAACTTTTGCCGAATCGAAAGTTTGATGCCGAATCTTGGGATTCGGCAAAGCCAAACTTATGCCAAACTTTTCTAAAGATTCGGCAAAAATACATTGTTACCAGACTCGCTGATATTTAGTTTTTTTCTGGCGAAAAAAATGTTTTATGTTTCTTTCTTTCTTAACTTAAATGCAACATGTTTACTAAATAAGGTGATATTCTACAAGATAGATGTATCGGTGCCGTTTTTGTGTGTTTACTGGCAATTTTAGTGACTTCTTGCGGAAGTGTCGTGACAAGAAGGTTGGGTAGAAGCGAGCGTGGCGCAGTCACGAATCACGCTACAAGAGTTTCGGTTTTGAGGCATCATCACCGCAAGCCTGCATGTGTGTGTACACTGCTAAAATGAAGACAATAACGCTGCGTTCTTGCTTTCTCTGGGAGTCACCGGTTTGTGCGCGAAAACAATGCAACGGCCGATGAGCCTTCACCAGGAGAATAATAATATAGTAAATATGCATATTCTTCGATTTGGGTCACTTGGCGTCAGCTTTGCACGAAAGTGTGCGTCCCATATTCGCAACGTGTCGTGTTTAGCCTTTAAAATGCCTGTTTCTGGTGTTAGGACACACACAAACGTTTCGGAAGATAGAGAGAGTGAATGTCGGATGTGCAACGTCGAGCATTATAGCCCTGTTTAGTTTTATGCAGGTACGTGAAAATCGCGAAATAACACTCATTGAAAAAGAAATATTATTTTATTTCGGAACACACTACTCCCGAGCCGAAAATATAATTATTATAATTGCGAGGAGTGCTTTAAAGTAATTGTCGGCCAATGTCTCAATGTTTCAAAATGCACCGCATCATTTGTCACTTGCGCAGTGGACTGCGTAAATTACTGGTCGACCTTATATTCTTGAGGCAGAAAATATTGAAGAGAACCACACTCGCTCACGAACGCATAGTTATACTGTGTTGCCTACCCCACACCGCGCCGTAACCACCGGTTGTACTACACTGCACGATGGTGACTGCACGACTGCGTCCATTTGCAATCCAAGGCTCCGTCGCGTTCTCGCGCATGGGCAAACACTTGCCGAATTTTTGCCGAATCTTTGCCGAACTTTCCTGCAAAAGTTCGGCATTTGCCGAACTTTGCCGAATCTGAAGTTCGGCAGATTCGGTCCATCACTACTGAAAAGCAAGATCCTATTGGCCTCAGAGACAGCAGCCACCTCACAGGAATGTCATTCTCTAGTTATTCCCCAAACTTCGACCGCCTCCATGTCTTGTTTAAACTTCACAGTTTTTGGGTGCGAAATAAAAGCAGTCGAGAATTACTGTTAACAAGACCAGTTCAGTTTCCTGGTGAAATCTGATGTTTGCAACACTAGCAAAAGTAGATGTCGAAATTGTAAAGTTGTGCAGTATATATAGCAGTCTCGATAATATACAGCAGCCTAATAAAAATGTTAGAGAGCTTGACTGATTAAGCACACAGCCGTAAAGTGAGGGCCCAAAACAAGCGCACGTCAAGCCAAATATAACATCAACCTCCCGAGGCAGTATTTTGCGAAATATTGAGTTTGTCCAAGCTGATTTTCGGAGTGTGACTTGTGTTAGGATTATAAGAATCTTAATTTGTACTTCGGGCTATTTATAGGTATTATGGAATATCGTATTACATATCTATGCATTTATTTTGCAGTAAGGCATCATGCATCGGATTCTTTTAAAGATTATAATTTATTATCTTTCTCTTTCTGCACATTTTGTGTCTTTTCCTTCAGATCTGTTGTGTGAGCACAAAGCCCTTTCTAACACGCCCTGCGACCAGTGTTTCACACTGCCGAAGAGGGAACAAAAAACACGTTTCAGGAGACTCAACGGCTAGCATACTTTTGAGTATCGTCGTCCCATGTCGGTCTCAAGCAGTTATGTGAACTTCATACAGTCCAACACGACTGACCAAAGATTTGACTACATAAGTAAAGGCCAATCACCTTAATGATATACATCATATGTAAATGAATCTGCAAATTATTTGAAAGTTGTTCTGCAAATCCTCTCCTGCGTTTTTATTCTCGATACACACATGTATAAGTGATTCGAGACAGCCTCAAAGGGGGGGGGAAGGGGGTGGGGTGCAAGATTTCAAGATTAGAAGAATTTGCATCTTGTCATTTTTATGTTGTTTATCGTGTCCTCAAGGATAGAGGAAAACACCTCCTTCATTAAGAAATGTTGCGATTCCGCTGCTTAATTGTCTGTAGCAGTAGCCGTCTGTAGCAGTAACCGTTTTAAAGAAAAAACCTAAAACAAATGTGCCACCTTGCATTTCTGGATGCCTTCTTTTGGTCATTTACTTAAAATCTTCTATATGACGAAGGCGAGTGCGTGTGCGGCACGTTGACCTTCATTTCCAGCATTCCCGTTGATTCCTGGGTAATTTAGCAATAGGTCTATCACGTTACCAGGCGTCATCTATTTTGTGCTACGTTTTTCAGGCTAGCGTAGCTTGCGCTGCGTTCTAATTTTCTTTAAGCTGGTTGTGCATGTGAGAGGAAGCCACGTGCTCACGCACTGTGGAAGCTCCACTGAGCTCCACAATGTAGCACGAAATAGTTGACGCCGAGTATAACTGCAACCATTAGGTCTCGTAAATATTGAGCACTTAACCGTTAAAGTATATGTTGCACCATTGTAAACTAAATGCTTGTACCATGGAAGGGGTTTAGCAGCACTCGAAACGTTTGCAAGGAGGACGAACGACAGCTGGCAAACCTAACTTGACAGATGACATTGCACTAAAACTTACCTTGGCCGACAATGTTACTCCGAAGGTTTTGTACTTGTTTACTTTCCAGCGGGTTCTAGACCTGCCTTTTTTGTGTGTTTGCAGCTTGCCCTCAGCTTGGCGAGAAATATTTCTCATCCACCGGTTCTGCACTCGATTACAAAAGTGGAGGGGGGGTCAGTGACCGCGCGTGTTAATGCACTGCAGCTCAAATAACCTGAATGAAAGCTCATGCTGCAGAACCCGGGGTTTAATCCCTGCCCGTGCCAGTTTCGATCTGGATGAGCGTCGTACCGGCATGCGGTCGTGTGTCGCAACTGCACGGTGCACGTTAAAGAACACTGACGGTATTTATGCTCGCCAAGGTTTTTACTTGTACATGACATATGAGAGCCCAACTACCCAGAACACAATTTCCGGCTCATAATTAATTTTCTTTCTGCCCGAAAACTGCCGAACAAGAACTGGCCGGTTTGAGTTGCGCTCACTCTCCTCTCCGTGGTCACATGCCGTGTTCTACAGTTTAGACACAACTACCAACGATAATAATTGTTGTGAGTCATTAAAAGCACGCACCCCACTATATTTCTTCTTCGTCCCCAGTTCAGTTTCGGTTTCAAGCAGTTGCATTTTTCGACATTATTAAGAATATATGTAGGGTGTGTACTTTCCGGTGTTTATTTGTGAGAAAAATTGGCAGATGTTTTTCGGTGTTTATTTAGTTTTAAAACACCGATGTATTTCGGTGGAACGTCTCACGACGAGGCTAAAATCGGTGATTATCGGTGAAAAAAAGCGATTGATCACAGACAGAGAGTTCCAATTTTGTTCACATAGTTCTTACATTTCTTCTCTAGGAAGCAACTATTTCTCACACTTGGTTATTATAGTAGATGCAAGCATACTTTCTTGCTTGCATCTGCACGCAAGGAACGTGCTGCCGTCATGGCAGCACGTTCCTTGCGGTTCGCAACCCGCAATTATGAAAACGCACGCTCTTGTACGATACGGACGTTGGCATTCTCTTCCAGGAACCACAGCAACCTCTGAATACATGGCTTGCACCGACATCACTTGGCCAGACACAATGAGGAAAAGGCACGTGAGAGCCTACCCTCCACTGCGTTAATTTTTCCCCAAAAGGGGGCCATGGGAGACACAATGGGGGAAAGGCGTATGAGAGCTTAGCTTCCACTGCGTTCACTAGACGCTTTTGACCCCCAGAAAGGAGGGCGGACTGACGCCACCTGCAAGCCATGTATAAACACTGGAAGAATGCAGGATCCACGAGATAACACGTTTGACGAACCTCTACGGGGAAAGGGTTTCGCTAGGTCGGAAACTAGCAACGACCGGTGTTTTTCGGTTTTAACCAGGGCGAAAATATCCAACCACTGGTGTTTTTCGGTTTTCACCGATTTTATATTTTCGTCACCGACGGATGTTTATCGGTGTTTTTCGGTTAAAACCGGAAAATGCACACCCTAAATATATGTGACACCTTAGAAAAATATTGATCGGGTATTCTTCTGACATCGTTATAGATCGCCTTGCAATATAAAAAAAAATGAAATATGTTTACAAATCTCTGTAATGCCGAATTAGGGCACAGCTCTTGAGGAGGAGGAAGGGAGGGTACGGAGAGGAGGGTATGTCCCTGCTCCCCTCCGTACCCTCTCCTCCTTCTCTCCTGCTCCCCCTTATTTAGTGGGGAATTATTGCTAAATTTCCCTGCTAAATTTAGCGGGAAAATTACCCCTCTAAATTTAGTGGGGACACTGAATTAGTTTTGAGGTCACGTGGCATCAATTTCCTCCCTAAATTTGGCAGAAAAATTTCTGCTAAATTTAACGTGACGTCAGTTTTCCTATAATTATGTCACGAGGGTAAAACTTCCCTGCTCAATTAAGCGGAAAAATTTCCCCGCTAAACTTATAGAAAAAATTAACTGCCAAATTTAGTGAAAAATTTTCTTGCCAAAATTTAGCGGGGAAGTTTTACCCTCCTGATGTCACACGTGGCTTCACGTGTGACGTTATTATGGGAAACGTCCCATAGTGCAACGCACGGTTACATTGACGCTTCTCAACCCGGAACCCTGTGCCTAAGAGCTGCACTCTTATAAAAAAAAAGTTTGTGAGCTGTTGGTGTTCCTTTAAGGACACAGGCTAGCGGTCGTACTGCCCTGAAAGAATTTCTGATTTACAGTGGAGACGACAGACACCCGTTGGGGCTCACTAACCTCCCGCTGTCTAAACTTGCTGCATGATTACAGTTACGGGAGTCTCGTGGAAAACGGCTTGGCTTTGTGAGACGGAGCTTGGCGAGTGCTATCGGAGCCTGACCCGATCCAACAGTTCGTATGGAACCGAATCAGTGTTCAGCTCATGGTAAGTTCATCGTTTCCACTTGTGGCTTTACTACGGTCGGTCATAGTTTAGAGCAGTTCTTGTGTCCTCAGTAGTGTCCAAATAGAGTTCCTGTATAGGCTCCCATCGGGAGCCAGAGTTGCGCGTCTGTTTTTCACGTGGCACATCGCAGCTATTCACCGAGACCAATCATGTCAGGACAGAGAATCCTACGCCATGCAGAAAAGTCAATTTGTTGACGTTTCACGCACGCGTGCCGGCATATGTTCTGCTTTTGCCTCCTTCTCCTTACCTGTTTTCCAAGCGCAGCGCCATGTTTCTCGTAATCGTCACGTGACCGGGTGGAATCGACGGAGCACGGCTCCTACATGCGTGGAGTGGCCTTCCCGCATCAGTTAAGATTTCAAGATGGCTGAACACGCAACTCTGGCTCCCGTAGGGAGCAGAAAGAGGAAGTCAAAATCACAGAAAAATGTGTGCATGGTGGTAAGGGTTTGGCTTGGAGAAGCCAAAAGCAGCAAACTAAGATTTTTAAGTGAGGTTCATGGCAGTGGTGAGTTAATGTTGGGCAAGTTAAATGTTAAGTTCCTATACGTGGTATTCCGGGCACTTCTGGCCAGCTTGACACGGGCTGAAAGTGCTTTCCAAATCAGGTATTCGTTGCATGCTTTTAAGAAACAACATCTTAGCAAAGCTTTGTGTTTTGTAATTAAATCGGTCTTTTGGGGTGTTCTGCTTGCCCGATGGCTACGAAGATGCCAACAAATTGTGCGGTTGACTGCACAGCTTTGATTCGAGAGATCTTCGTGAAACAAAAAATGCAGCAGGGCTGTCGCAGTCGAGCATAGTCCTGGGCTCAGTTGTTTCCTGCTGCTTCGAGTATGTGTCGATTTCATGCAAACACTTTGAATCCTCGCTTTATTTTTTTTATCAAGGTTGCACACTCCTGACTCTTCCAATGAATGAAGGGGCTGTAATATAAAGATTGATCGAAAGAATAATTTATGTCTGCCACTTTTAAATGTTCAGACAAAGAAAAATGTAACTAAATTTACATTTTAGTTCGAGGCATATGCTGCCAGTCATGCCATACATGAAGAGTTGCTGACTATTTTTAGAAATTAAATAATACAGTATTGATCTTTTTTTTTTTTTTGTTAAAGCAAAATGCTTTTACTCATTAAATTTTGGACGCTTGCAGGTTTGTGATCAGAGAGCTTATATGATAGTCACAAACCAAAAAAAAGTAAATTTTAAGAATGTGCCGGGAGAGGACTGAAGACTGGAATCGTTTGACATAGAACTGAACCTGCGAGTCCGCAAGCCGGCACTTTGCCCGAGATAATCTGAGAGCCACAAAAGTTTTTTTTTCTTTTTATTGTGTAATAAAGTGTCTCTTCATGAAGCAAGAAATGAGACATAGCATGAAACTATTGGTGCCATCCTCTCCATTTAATCATTTGTGCACGTCGTCATGCACGACCACGCATGTCTGCGCGGTATGTCGTAGGAGTTTTGCGTGATCGGCAGGAAGTTGGACACAAATAATGTTTCCTTATCTTATCACCTGGGTTCTAGAACCTTGTACAGTCTTTTGAAGTCCGCATCTGAGATGTCTCCGCGTGAATATCATTCGTGAAATCGCCATGGTAGGTTGACGTCATCGTGATATCTCCACTCGTCGGCGAAAATGCACCGCTTGCTTTTTGGCAGGCGCAAGCACAAGCAGCACAATCCTTTGCATTCTTAAAGGGCTATTCCGGCACATGTTCTGAATTTTAGGGTTACGATGCTTTTTAGTGAAGGAAGTGTTCCTGAATTACGAGGTGTCTGTTTCAATGCGTTCTGCAGTCTTGTAGATATCCTATTTCAAATTTTTGTCTGGGGTGTCTACAGCGAAACAGAAACTACCGGCATGATGGCAACCCTTGTGATCAGCTGCATGGCCGTCGTGTTGCGTAAAGTTTGTATTGCGATACTGCAAAACGTTAGACCGGCCTAGTCTAAAGAGCAGTTCCAATCAGTCAAGTAAAGGCCCGTTCACACTCTTGCGACTGCTTGCGACCTCTTAAACCTGGGTTCCTTAAAACTTCTTAAACCAGAAAACACACTGGCGCCATCTATTGGGAAGCAGTGTAAACTCGGCGGTCCGGCATATTTTTTTTTATTTCTCGCGCAATATCCTTTCTTTTTTTGGCTCGAAAAACTTTTGTCAATGTTATAAACGAGCCTTTCTATGTGTATTACGCACATTTGACCTCGGAAATCCCGCAAAACCTTCGCTTTTGTGAAATGCAGTTCTAGGGTCACCGCATAGATGGCGCCACAATGTCAGTGTGTCCCCTCATTCTAGAAAAATTTAAGAAGTTGTAAGAGATCTCGTCTCTCTCAGTCGTACTCGGTCGCAAGAGTGTGAACGGGCCTTTAGATGCTACTGCTGTTTACTGCTTTGCTTTGGAGATATCAAACATTTGTAGTAAATATTATTACACATTCATAAAGTTGCCGGCTGAACCCCATCTAACGGGAACAGTGAGAACCCCAGGGAAACGAAACCACGCCGCATACATTGGTACGTTTTGAAGCTGTAGCATGGTTGCTCTGGTTTTGCAGCATGAACTGCTGCATCATTAAGTGCTCCAATTGTTATGCATCGCATCGATCGTGTCTGCCACTGTGTAGACATGGCTGACATATTCTACACTGCCGCTTTGTGCTCTGCATTTGTTCTTGTCCCAGTAATGCCTGTATATGTTAGTACAAAAGGGACGAACTGAAATGCCATCGCACACTCGTGGGCACGCAGTGCCAATTTCATTGGAGGAATGCCCTCCAAAGAAGTTTCTTCCCCATCGTACGTGTCAGTGATATTTTTGACCAGTATGGCATGTAGTCTGTACTTCATGAGGGAATATTCTGACGGTACTAAAGGTGACAAAGATGAATCTAAGCAAAAATACAATGAAACTTGGAATCACTGAACAGTCGACATTTGAGCATGACAGTTTATGTCGTGTTCTTTCTTTTCATTTATTTGTACCTCCCAAGCGCCCGAAGGGGCATACATGATGGAGGAAATTCAACAGTATGCAAAGAAAACAGAACTGTAAAAATGTGAACAAACATCATTGAAAAATTATGATATAATGAAAGCACATGGAATGTATACATGTCAATTTACGCAGTATAGCACACACACTTAAATTCGTCGACATTTACTAAGGACACAATGTTAGCTACCAGTTTGTTCCAGCCGGAAAGTGCCAACTGTAAGGGTGATGTTTGGAAAAGTTTTGTACGTTATGTTTTTAATAGTCCCTTCTGCTGATTATCAAATCGAGGAAAAATATGGTGTGGCAAGTCTGCTGTTTCTTTCAGCTGATATAGTACTCTTCTGTGTCGAGAATAGTCTTTGTAACTAAATATTTTGCCCTGTTTTGAATTGACTTGATTTTTCGGTCAGCCTCCTTTTGGACGTGGAAATGCTGACACCCCGAGTCCTGTAGTTGACAACTTCTTTTTCTCGGCTTCGAAACAACCTATTGTAAAGTGTCATCCACTGGTCCCTTCCTTCCTGTAAAATATCCACCTACCGCGACGAGCAGTATTCTCTTGAGACTTTGACACTCAAAACTGGTTCCCATTCAGTTACGCCGCCCAAACCGAATTTCCACTTGGTTTCCCTATGCCACCTCTGTTTGGTATAATAAATGTTGTGTCAAGTAACGGTCATGTCCAAGTACCTGTGTGCCGAAAATCTGTACCTCACACAGCCAGGTTATTATACAACAGCTGACCGTAAAAGCGTTCGATGGTCAAATTGTGTGTTAGACGACAACTTTTGTTTCTCGGCTTTGGAACCACCTTTTGTAAAGTTGTTTGATTTGGAAGTAAAGTCCGCTGTTCCGCTCCCTGTAAAGTCTCCACCTCACACGACGAGTGACATTCTCTTTGACAGCCACAAACGGTCAAAACCGGTTCCCATTCAGTTACGTCGCCCGAACCAAATTTCCACTTGGTTTCCCTATGCCACCTCTGTTTGGTATAATAAGTGTTTTGTCAAGTTACGGTCATGTCCAAGTATCCGTGTGCCAAAAATCTGCACCTCACACAACCAGGTTGTTACACAACATTTTGGGTTCAATATTGGGTATCCCGAACTTCTTTATTTCTTTATTTGTTCGAAACATAACTTTCACACTTGAGGTCTTAATAATACTTGGCATACACTTTCCTTTAGTGAACATCTCACTCGCCTCCAAATATTATCGTCCAAGCAGTCCTATTTTTCTAGTGACGAGCGAGACAAATTTCCTACTTGGAGCAATTATGGTGGTGGCCATCTTGCTTTTTTGTAAAAGTGCTCAAGCCTCATTTTCTACTGCAACTAGAGAAATTAAACCTATTAATGACTCAAACTCAATATATAAGAAGCCGAGAACAGCTAGATGACCTTAGGTCTGCCCCAGCCCTCATGCAACGTCACCCTCAAGGTATCAGCTCAAAAAGCGAACGTTCCGTCAGTGCACGCTTCCTCCGCCGCACCTTCGCACACGATAGGCGCCACAAGGTGCTGAACGCGTCTCACTCGAGCGCCAGTTCCTCCGCTAGCGGCGCTACGCTCATTTTTCAAAGTGCCCCTATAGTTCCTGCATGGAGCCTATAGCGTTACGTACATATTAGCGAGACGCGACTCCATCACTTGTTGAAATTTTTTTACTGCTAACTTGAAGAAAGACTTTCGATCTTACTCACCATAGGCGGAACAGTCATTGGCCAATTAGAAAATGTCATATCTAAGAATCTCCAGAAATATTGTCCCACTCTTTGAATAATGAGGTATCCAGACCCCAAGAAGTATTCAGATCCAGATTTTGTCTTTCAAGTCTAGGATTTTCTTGTGACACAAAAAAAGAAAATTTTGAGAAGTCAGGAATACTTTCCAAGGCGAGGAGATATGTAAAGTGTCATCTAAAAATCAAGATTTAAAAAATATATACTTTTTTTCTCTAGGGTTTTTACTTTTCAAGAAAAGGGACTCCCCTTAATGGTGCCAGTTGCATTTGAGTGCTTTTGTGAATCGAATTTTGAAGCGCTGCAAAATATTGAACTGTACAGCTGCGGCAAAATTGTGTTAATGACAACTCTTTTCGAAACTAACCGATTAGAAAATGTCATATCTAAGAATCTCCAGAAATATTGTTTTTGTCACACTCTTTGAATAATGAGGTATCCAGACCCCAAGAAGTATTCAGATCCAGATTTTGTCTTTCAAGTCTAGAATTTTCTTGTGACACAAAAAGGAAAGTTCTGAGAAGTCAGGAATACTTTCCAAGGCGAGGAGATATGTAAAGTGTCATCTAAAAATCATGATTTAAAAAATACAGTCAAACCTCGATGTAACGAAGCCGGTAAAATTCGGAATTTACTTCGTTACATTAAAACTTCGCTACACAGAAATTCGGGCCTAACATTAAAGAAAGTTGCCAACAAATGTTTCACGGGTGCACAAAACTCACCAAGAACACCATTATTTCAGTTGAAAGTAGTCCGTCACCTTTATCTGGGCCACTCTTGGCATTATTATTGGCAACACGCGACATTCGCCTAACCAGACGGCCTGCATTGCGTCTTCCTCTTGCTGTGTGCTTGCGAACCGCCTCAAGACATCGATCGCGTCCACCACTTCACGGTTACTGTTCACATCGCCGGTGTCTTACTTATCAGGCTCGAAGCGTTCCCGTCTTCAGAGTTGCCACGAACATCGCTATAGCTATCGCCTCGTTGGTCATTTCCTCCGTTGAAATGACAGCAGCGTCGGCTTATAGAAAGTTGTTGAGGTCGACGTTGGGGGGGGGGGGGGGGGGGGGCTCCATCGCCTTCAAAGTTAAAGCTCCATCACCCAGGACAATGAGAAAAGCACATTTTTAGTTAGGCCTCGAAACGAACTATGCAGCGCGAACGGAGCCGACGGATGAAACGGCGGCGGCTCTAGTGTCTTCTAGTGGCCGTTCTGTACACCACACTCACCAGATTCGGCCTGTTTCACCTTTTGCGCTTTATCGGGGGCCCGTTTCAGCGCATGTGCTTTCCAATATCTCCTTTGCGACCCAAACGTTTGTGACGAATTGTCCATGAAACTTCGTTACATCGAAATTACGGCGAACGGTACTTCGTTACATAGCGGTCAAAAATACATGGCGTGCATACACTTGCGGTTAGAAAAAGTTATGTACTTCGTTACATCGGTGGTTTCGTTACATAGAAGTTTGTTACATTGAGGTTTGACTGTATATACTTTTTTTCTCTAGGATTTTTACTTTTCAAGAAAAGGGACTCCCCTTAATGGTTCCAGTTGCATTTGAGTGCTTCCGTGAATCGAATTTTGAAGCGCTGCAAAATATTGAACTGTACAGCTGCGGCAAAACTGTGTTAATGACAACTCTTTTCGAAACTAACTGGCTACCTTCAACTTCAACTTTATTGTTTCTCTCCAGGGGAGAGGGGGTGGAAGAAAAGAAAGTAGACTTGTCACTTGACAGTTTCTCCTCCTTGTGTATCAACACGTATGATATTTTATTTTAGGTGATGGAGCCACATTGTTGGGGAAGACCAGCTACCCACTGAAAGTCACCAAGGACATCTGGTTCAAATGCTGTTCCTGCACCTATGTCACCAGAGATCAGTGTGTAATTGTGAGCCACCTGGCTGCCCATGGTGATGAACAATCCAGGTGCCAGCATCCAATGTCTGGCTCTAAGTCCCAAGTGCTCGACAACACTCAAAAGCACAAGAGTGAAAAGCCATTTAAGTGCAACCTCTGCCCTGAAGAGTTTGCTTATAATTCCCTTCTGACCTACCATAATCGTTTGCACACTGGGGAAAAGCCATTCAAGTGCTTGCAATGCCCCAAGGCCTTTGTTAAAAAGTCTGCTCTGCGATGCCATAATCGAATGCACACTGGCGAAAAGCGATTTAAGTGCAAGCATTGCCCCCAATCCTTTTCTCGAAATTACCATCTGCAATGCCATAATCTTAAGCACACTGGTGAAATGCCATTTAAGTGCAAGCATTGCCCCAAAGCCTTTGCTCAAGATTCCCATTTGAGAAATCATACCCGAATGCACACTGGGGAAAAGCCATTTAAGTGCAAGCTGTGCCCCGAAGCCTTTGCTCACGGTTCCAATCTTAGACAGCATAGTCGAAAGCACACTGGTGAAAAGCCATTTAAGTGCAAGCAGTGCCCCCAAGCCTTTTTTCAAAATTCCGATCTGAGAAAGCATAATCGAATGCACACTGGTGAAAAGCCATTTAAGTGCAAGCAGTGCCCCCAAGCCTTTGCTCAAAATTACTATCTGCTACGCCATAATCGAATGCACACTGGTGAAAAGCCATTTAAGTGTAAGCAGTGTCCCCAAGCCTTTGGTCACAGTTCCAATCTTAGACAGCATATTCGAAAGCACACTGGTGAAAAGCCATTTAAGTGCAAGCAGTGCCCCCAAGCCTTTGCTCGAAATTCCGATTTGAGAAAGCATAATCGAGTGCACACTGGTGAAAGGCCATATAAGTGCAAGCAGTGCTCCCAAACCTTTGCTCAAAATTATTGTCTGCGACTCCATAATCGAACGCACACTGGTGAAAAGCCATTTAAGTGCGAGCAGTGCCCCGAAGCCTTTGCTCGAAATACCTATCTGAGAAAGCATAATCTAAAACACACAGGCGAAAAGCCAGTTCAGTGTAAGTAGTGCTCCCAAGCCTTATCTCATAATACCAGTCTGATCTGCCATTATCGAAAACTGTATTTAAAAACCTTAGAAGTGTAAACAATGCTCCAAGAGCTTTGCTCAGTGTAGGAGTTTATCCACCAGAACAAATGCACACATGTGGAATGCCTTGCGGTTGACCGTAAGCTGAGCCTGCCCCGTGTGTTATCATTTAATTCGTGCAAAACTTTATGCCTTTTCAATCAAAGTATGTATATACCTGAGTGCAAAATTGGTCCCAAGCCCTTTGTTCAGATTAGTAGTGAAACTCGCCACACTGAAGCGCTTATGCGTAATAAGCCTCACAAATTGCAGCAGCGCTCTGTGTTGTGCACCTGAATGCACTCTACATCATGAGTCAGCTCTTGTTCCAAACTCCCTTGAACTAGCTTGAGGTGTGCTCCTTTGAGGTGAGGTCTAATATGTTTGTAAAAATGTCCATCATTGTTTCTTAATATTACTTACTATCTATAAGGGAGATACAAATGTGGCAAAAGTTCATGTGGAACCGAAATTCAATCTTATTAAAAAAAAAGGCAGTTGTAACTTTTGCATTTTTTCTCTCGGCCCCTGTGGAGTTTTGTAGTGAAGTAACAGCTGGTTGGCACACTTGGGACTGCTTACGACCGGAGAAGCTAAAAACCTGCTTTTAAGCCTCGTGTGAAGGCTTTGACTGCGGTGCTTTGAATCTGGTCGTAAGCAGTCGCAGGAGGCCTAAAAACCGGCCTTGTCTCAGTCGGTTGTAGTCAAATGCAGTTGTGTGAATGGGCCTTAAAGGACACATGCAAAGGAAAAATACAATTTTTTTTAAACAGCCTGTCTGGGAAAATTGAGTCATAAAACGAATTTACAACAAAAAATAAAAATTTTCAGAGCTATATTAAGTGGTCGCTATTTGTCACGTGACTGGCCGCTATTTGTCATGTACTTGCGCTCTTTTGGAAGCTTCCTATTGTCTCTAAATGTTACATATTCATCTTTGTTTCAAGTGCAAAAATAAAAAAAAAAAGACGAAGATTAATAGGCAACTTTCAGAGCCCAAAGGAAGCTCCTGAAAAAGCGCAAGCAGACATGGTAGACCGGAGCGGACGAACTTGCGCGGCGGCGGCGTGGAGAAACGCGTTGAAACGGCGGCGCGCCATGCTCAGCGTGCGGCAGCGGCGTGACTTTGAGGCGGCAGCGGTGCCGCGCAACGGCGTACAGATGTACCACATGACCAGCGGCGGCTCCCACGGGTGCCAACTACAAATTCGTTTTGCGCCGTAAATATAGCTCTAAAAATTTTTTTCGATGTACATTCGTTTTAAAACATTATTTTTTTATCTAGGCTGTTTAAAAAAAAAAAGATTTTTTCCTCTGCATGTGTTCGTTAAGTAGTGCGAAGTAACTTTTTCCGAGATTTTTCTTTTGACGTTTGACGTGCCATAACCTCATTCTAGCTGTTTCCTCAGCGGAGGACTCATTGGCAAGTGAGTGTGTGCGCCGCAGCACTCCCTGCTACTTGTTGTTACATCGCAAGTTGAATCCCTCGCACTGCCCAGAAGGTTTTGCTTTACATTGGCACTGTACCCATTTTGAATACTGCGTAATGCCCCTTCGGGACTGCATTGACGAAAGTTGTTGAAAATTTTGGACTCACTAACATGCTCATACTCAAAGTGCTTTTGCCTTCCCTCTTTGCACTGGCATCTTCACATTTATGTATTTATATGACATCTGCTTGCAAATATCGCTCTCCTTTGTGTCAAGTGTTCCCAATGTTCGTTTTCCTGGCAGTTGTTTCCGCGTTGCCTGGCTGGCTGCATCTGAATTTTCAAACCGTAGATGTCATTGTTTACCGGAAAATTTCCTTTGCTTTCATTTTTCGTGTAACACGGGATGGTTTGTTTCTCTGCTTCTCTGAGTATTAGTAAAAATAAACATCTTAGACTCTAACGAGCCAGGGATGTCAGAACAACAAGCGCGAGGCTGCGGGTGCACCACAGCTGCTTTTGCGTGCGTTCTACTGTGCGTCATAACACATGCCCGACGCTATTCAAATGAAATGGGCGCCATAAAATGTATTCCGTCATTTCAGATTCCGCCACGTGTGCGAAAACATTTTAATGTTTTTGTCACTTGCAAAAATCATTTTCGGCAATCAATCCATGCTTGTCGGAATGGTTTGGCTATAGTTTGTTTCATAAACCACCTCGGTGGCTCTTAGGTGACAATTGGTGCCACTAAATAAGCTACGCTTCAGAGTAACCACATTTGGCCATATGGTGGCTTAAAATCATGGTTGCTAATTATCTCAAGCTTTATTTGAAATCCCAAGAAACGCTTTTCCGGCCTCCGCAAATCTTTAAACAGTTCGCTACAGAGCAAAGCAAAATTACACGAGTTTCCTAACACCTAATCTAATGCTGAGGAAGTGGCACTTTTGAATCATGACGATCGACAGTTGCGTCTGCTCTGCACAAGCACCAAAATGGCGGGGCGCCCACAACAATGTCGGGGAACAGAGCGCCGATACTCTAAGCGCAGCTGATTTAATGGCTCTAGTGGCAATGATATTAAAACAAAACATTAAATCGTCTCAGTGACTCTACAGCCAACGCGCTGGCCCATGAATCCATATTTGCCGGGTTTAAATATCGGCCGAGGTGGCCGCAATGGACTTCTTCCAAAACCGACGCGCCCCATTGCGGCGAAATTACCACGCGGTGCACTGTGGGAACTAGTTGGCCACTCAGTTTCGGTTTCGACTGAGCAGATTCATCTCATGCTATCACGCCGCGACCGAACGCGCTGCTTGCGTTTTCGATTGTCTGACTTTTTTACGAATGTACAATACACTCATTCTCGAGCGATACAAAACGAAGGCCGGGGCACTTTCCTTGGTTCCCGAAACACCAGATATTATGAGTGCGTATGCAAACGTAGTAAGACGTGGCTTAATCACCTCATCTTTGAGTTCAATTTCAATGATCCCGTCTAGTACCAGTGAACTACAAGTGAAATTCGGTCACCTGGAGCATTACACGTATTTTGTTTGCCAAACGACCGCTTCTTGTTACTTCACTGGGCGAAAAGCAAGGCGCACCCTCACAGGAGTATCAAAGTCGAGCCCAGCGTTGACGCATGAACTTTTCAGAAAACACAATAAATTCGACCTCACTACTGCACAAAGTTACTATGATGTCTTCCTTGTGTTATCATATATCTCCCACTCAAATTTTATGCTGATAAAAAATTAAGTTTTCGCCAACGCTGAGATCGGCTAGCTACGACGGAGGCCCTAACAAGCGTCCCCTACTGCTCGCTAAGCCTTTTTGGACGAGCTTTTACTGACGCCCAAGATCTGTGCCTGAACGGTGTGTTTGAAATTATCTAGGCATACTCAGGCAGGAAGAAAGCAAACACATAACAAATATTATGGCTATTAGCAACCGTCAAATGCACTTTGAATAATCTCGTTCGTTTGGCGCATCGCATAGGGGTTCACGCCCGTCCGGCGTACTTCTGGCGAATGGTGCGACATTTTTCACACAAGTGCTCGACTTTTGCTTTCTTAAAACGGTTTGTATGGGCGAAACGCGAATACGCGATGTTGAATATTAGTAAAATGCAAGCGGGTGGGGACTTCGCTTCGTGCAGTGCTGCGGGTCAGTACAGATAAGCGATAAGAAGTGTGTTATAATTGAGCTTTCCAATGGCGCCTCCGAGTTTTACCTTGCGTACACAGGCGTATTAAAAAAACAGTAATTGCAAAAAGTAATATTTCGTCTATGGGCGCACGAAACGAACAAACTTCCTGATCAACAACACTAATGTAAAGGCACGAGCTCGATGTATGCATACTTATTGGTTGCTACAGCGTGTTGATTCGTACATAAGCAAGATCCCCGAGCTTCGCAGCGTCGACATTCCCAGCACTGGCTCGTCCACCATACCTCGAAACGCTAACAGAAAGGCTCATGTACAAAAATACAACAAGCATGTGTTAAGACAAGCTATACGTCTCGGGCTTGTGCTAATTCTTCGAGGTCTGGCCATTTAGGTTAGTTTAGAGACCACTAATGACGCTCTCGGGACCAGAAAACATGAGATAACGGCCGTTAATAGTCCACGCTCTGTGTGTGAGCTCTTGTCGACGTGTCGATCGAAACCGAAACCATGCCACTCTCCTCCCTGGCCAACTAGTTCCCAGAGTGCAACGCACGCCGTGTTGCATGCAGGGCTTTATGGAAGTAGTCTATCCGACGGAGGCCAATCTGAGATTTCGGTTGCACGTCAAAAGATTTCCAGTTAGCCAAAATAAACCCGCATTTTTCTTTATGCGTGTTAAGTGATTTTTGTTGGATTGGCTCGTGAAACCTTAAGGTCTGAATATTTGCTTTGTTTTACCTTAGTTCGGAGTGCAGCCAACGGTACGGGCTGATGAAGCCACTGAAGCAGCGCCAAGAGCCCGAGGTCAAGCTGTTCGTCCTCTTTCTTTGCCTATGAGGTCGGGGTAAACTATAGAGCCGCTGAATAAGCTACGCTTCATACACATCTTGGTGCTTAAAATGATGGTTGTCAGTTATCTGAAGCTTTATCCGACATCACAGGAAACACTTTTCCGTCCTCCACAAATGTTTAGACAGTTCGCGACAAAGCAAAGCAATATTACGTGAGCTTCCTTACACCGAAACTAATGCTGAGAAAGTCGCACTTATGAATCATGACGATTGGCAGTTGCGTTTATCATTTGGTTTAGCTCGTAGGCTAAACCAAGTGCAGTGGGGGATCGTTGGCCGAGTGTGTTGTGGCACCGCAGATCAGAGCACCTAGAGAAATGCTCGAACGCGAGCTCCGTTCAAAGCACGGAGCTCACGCTGCAGAACCTGGGGATTAAATCTCCTCTATGTGTTTGCGTTGGTCTTTCAAGTAACGTCAATTGTGCCAATGCACGTGGCCCGTGTCTCGAACGGCCCTTAGAGGCTAATGGCGGCGCAGCACTAAATTGACTGTCCCTTGAAAGCGAATGGCGGTGGAGCACCCGCTCGTGGCACGTGTCTTGCGCGTTTCCACAACAATGGTTGGCGGTACTTGTAAAAAACGCCTTTATCAAGCGGCTTTAGCAGAGACCCTGGGTTCAGTCGCCCATCTGCACCCTACCGTTGTGCGATCGTGTACCACATATACTGCGTAATGCACGTTAAAGACCCTGAGCTAACAGTTGTACTGAATTTTTTATAACATTCAACGGGTAGCAGTGTCGCCCTACGAAACTGCTGCTCTCTAAAAAACTAACGACTAATTTTTAATCCGGCGTTACATTGCATTTTAATGTGTGTTTGCCTGTTCGCGTTTTTCTTTTTTGTCTACATCTTTGATTATGCGGCTTTTATGATGAAACAGACTATAGTTATCGGACTTCTATAGAAAAATATTATATAACTAAGAAAATGGCACGTGAAGGAAAAATACAAGAAAGACACATAGGCGCGCTTAATAAAATAATTGCAATAATAGAATTAATTATAATTGGGTTTTCAAAAGGTCTGAATGCACAAAAAGCTCTAAAAGCGAGCTGGATGCTTTGGATTGTGCGCTTCTTTACTGGTAGAGTAGCTCACGCCAGCATGTTCGCTCTTGTATGTTCCGCTTCGCTCGCGCGATAAAACCAAACACTTTACTGGTGGTGTACTTAGTGAAACAAAGCTACATTCTGCATATCTGCAATGCCCTCAGTTTTTACGTGATTACACACTTGCTTATCCTTATTGTTTTTGTTTCCCACTGCGATTCATCTCGTGTTCTTTTGTGTGCTACGTGCAATGAGACCACGGTAATCCAGGAGCATTCTACATCGCAAATTGTAAAAAAAAAAAAAAAAAAATTATGCTACTTGTTACGTGTGCCACAATCAATGCAAAATATGTTAAACTTCACACGTGGCCGTTTGCGTAAATAAACAGTGTTGTTTGTCAAGAACGATTGCGATTGTATGAAATCACCTGGGAAAAACTTGTTCTAGGCATGCGACCGTTGGCATTCAGTGAATACTCACAATCGGCGCCGAGATTATTGGTAGCTGTCAGTAGGTGGAGTTTTTCTATCAACCCAGAGTTCGAATGTTTCCCCCTTTCTGTTGCAAGCAATCAGGAGACAACTTACACCAAATCTGAGGGTCATAAAGTATGCTAAAGTTGAGGCTTGGGCGAGTTCGTATATACTTCAAAGATTACGGCCTGAGCATTATATCTAAGCTTTAGCTTTAGATGCGCTCTTAACTTGCAATACGCTCAACGCTA